ATCTGACAAAGGCCTGACATCCAGGATCTACAAGGAACTCAAACAAACCGAAGGGAAGCAAACAAACAAAAACCACTAAAAAGAGGCCAAAGGATGTGACCAGACACTTCTCAAAGGAAGACAGTCAAGCAGCCAGCAAATGTGAAAAAATATCCAGCCTCACTAATCGTCAGAGAAATGCAAATCAAAACTACAGTGAAATACCACTGGTAAGGATGGCTATCATTAAAAAGTTTTTTTTTTAAAAGGTTGGGTTTGGTGGCTCAGCCTGTAATCCCAGCACTTTGGGAGGCTGTGGTGAGTGGATTGCCCAAGCCCACAGGTTCGAGACCCACCCGGGCAACTTGGCGAGACCCTGTCTCTACAATAAATCAAAAATTAGCCGGCGTGGTAGAGCACGCCTGTAGTTTTGGCTACTCGGAAGGCTGAGACAGAAGGATCGCCTGAGCCAGCAGGTCGAGCCTGCGGTGGCCCGGAGCGTGCCACTGCACTCCGGGCTGGGCGACAGAGTGGGACTCCAACTCAAAAAAAAAGAATGTGAATCATGATTGTAGACCACAGCTGGCCAAAAGGGTCCCCCGGGGCCAACTCAAAAAAAAAAAAAAAAAAAAGGTGCTGGCAAGACTGTGGAAAAAAGGGAACACTTCCACACCGTTGGAAAGCAGTGTGGCTTTTTCTCAGAGGACTAAAAATCGAGCGACCATACGATCTAGCAACCCTCTTCTGGGAACACAGCCAGAGGAACACAAATCGCTCTACCAGAAAGACACCTGCACATGCATGTTTACTGCCACACCATTCACAATAGCAAAAACATGGAACCAAGCCTACTGCCCATCAAAAGGCGACTGGATAAAGAAAATGTGGTCCATATACACAATGGAGTATTTCGCAGCCACAAAGGAGAACAAAATCAGGGCCTTTGCAGCCACATGCCTGCTGCTGGAGACCATCATGTACTAACTGAGCAATCACAGAAACAAAGAACTGAACACCACACGTTCTCACTCGGAAGCGGGCCCTGGTCACATGAGCTTATCAGAGGGGGTGGACACTAGACACCGCCAGGGGAGGGGGGTGGCAGGGGAGGGCAGGCGCGTGGCCACAGCCTGACTCCCAGGCCCACCATCAGGGGAAGAAAGGGCCAGTGAGAAGCCCAGACCTCCCCTGCGTGCAGCCTCGCTATTTGCTCAAAGTGGGGTCCCCAGGAGCTTGCTAGAAATGCAGTCTCAGCCCACCCAGACCTGCTGCATTCTTCACTGGTCCCTCAGGGGTGTGTGTGCACATTCAAGTCTGAGGAGCGCTGCGTGAGAAGCAGCTGCACGAGGGCGTCTGCCGAGGTGAGCGGCACGTCCGAGGTAGCGCGCACGGCCTGACGTCCCACAAGGGCCACACGTGCATCCGGAACGGAAGCCACCAGAGCACTAGAACAGGAGTGGACTCTCCAAAGGGCCAACTTGCTGTGGACTTGACTCAGGGCTCTTCATCACTGGTGACAAGAAGAACAAAGCACAGTGGGACAGCTGCCAGGTGTTGTGCTCTGTCCTTTTGTCAGCCCCCCCCCGTCTCTGACTGGCCCCGGTGAGCTGAGAGACGTGCAGCCAGCTCTGTGCGGCGGGGCCTGTGCCCTGCTGGGCTGGGCCCTTCACGTGCAGGCGATGCCCCATGGAGCAGGCACTCCACGCCATCGCCCATGTTGTCACGTCCGTCCTCAACGCAGTCGCGTCCCCATTTTGCCGATGAAGAAACTGAGGCACAAGAAGCCAAGTCGCCTTCCCAGGAGGGACGCTTGTCATGAGACCCAGATCTGAGGCCAGATCCATCTCCCAGGACATCCTTCTCCTCTCACGCCAGGCGTCATGCGGACCGGCCCCTCCCTCCACTGCCGTTACCACCAGGTCCCGTCACACGGGAAGGTGCAGGGAGGAGACCCCCGAGGCTCTGGCCGCCTCAAGTGCGTCTTGCTCTTCAAGTTTGTGGAAAGCTGATGAGAGGACTTTCTGTTTCCTTTGCCGAGCTCTTGGGGTCTGGCTCTCGGGCTCCAGGCACCAGGGTACCGAGCGTGGGCTCCGAGCTGGGTCCACGCCGTGTTCCCATCCGAGGTGACAATGGCCGGAAGGCAGGGCTGACCTCTAAGCCGCCCGCTGACCTCTCTGGTCCCCCCTCACGACTTGGCAGTCCGAGATGCGGGGGCAGTTTCATTCCGTGTTAAATACACGCTGCTCTTCCTCTCTCCGCAGGTTACTGGA